TAAGCTTTGGTAATATATAGTCAGTGTTTGTTATAAAATAAAAATGGAGGGCTGATAATAATACAAATTTATAATAATTTTTCTCATTCAAAACAAATAATTCTGATGTATGATCTCCTTTGATGCCCAGAACAACCCAAATGAGGTAACAGGCAGAAGAAAACCTGTGGGATGGAGAGGTGAAGACACGTTTTCTCAAAAGTGTCTGAACCAGGATATGAACCTGGGTTTTCTGGATCTAAGTCTAGAGTTCTTCCAACTATAATATTCTGTTGCCATGGAGCAGAAGACATATCCCAGTAAGGTGAACTTATTGGAATATACTTTACCACAGTGTGTTAGAATGTTGTAGTTGCCTCCTTCTTGATGCCACCTCAAATCCCTGACAAGCACCTTGTAGGTCTATAGTAGTAGCCTAGTATATACAAATGGATTAGTTGGTGACCATATAGCACACACAAACTAAAATAAATTGTGACACAGTGGATTTCAGATATTCAAAAATCTCCATCAGTATCCCTGAACGAAACCGTCATACACAGGGGTAAGCAAAAGTAGGTTTACAGTTGTGAATACATGAAACACATAGTTTATAAAGCCATCATAATAATAATAACCAGCATGTCTTTTTCCATACAAACAATTGTAAACCTACTTGTGCCCTCCCCTGTGTGTGTGTGTGTGTGTGTGTGTATGTGTGTGTAAATTTCCCTTTGTTACCCGCAGCCTTTCCTTTTAATAACCCTTATTCTCCCTTTTATCTCCTGTTGTCTTGTTCTAAAATGGCTTTACCCTTTCAGGTGCCTGAAGGTTTCTGCAACTTTCTGTACTCAGGACAAATAATTCTAATACTTGCAAGCATTCTACTCTTCATAGTAATATGTGATGCCCACAGCAACCAGGGTGATCAAAGAAGTGATCATGCTGGGGCTGCATGATCACTGAGAAAAATCACTCTTTCCAAGCGTCACTGCTGGATGGACATTTGTGCTCAAGCCACCCCCTACAGGGATTGGTAAGCGTGACATCTGAGCTTGAGCTTTACATGGCTACAGACAAGAATTTCCAAGGGGGGAAACCTAAAGACCTCACGTTTTTTGGAAAGGGATCTATTTCTACTTATATCTGAAATACCTCTTGAGCTGATAACTCCTTGGGAAATGAATGAAGCCATATTGCATGCAAATTTAGGTTTTAATGTCACACATCACACTTTCAAATTTAGGTCTCCAGACATGGGGGAAAAAAATAGTGTGCATGGCATGCACAAAGAAGTGAAATGAATAATTATCTCCTGGTATTATCTTTTCCAGATCCTATCCCAAAATGAATGTTATGGTGAAATGTATTTATTCATATTGGGATGAAACTTAGGCTATAACTCTAAGTTAATTTTATTTTCAAAGCAAATTTCATTACAATAGGTAAAGGCTTTGTTTCAAAGACAGAGAATTAGAACTAATGCATTTTACCCAGGTTTGAGCATTTGATTTGGCTTCTTTAAAAGCTTAATGTTTAAAGTGGCATTTTCAAGATACAATAATACTGACAAAGGAATAGCTGATAGAATAATAGAATAACGCCACGATAAATCAACTGACAATGAGACAAAACACCCAAGTGGAGAAAGAGACTCCTCTGTTGATGTAAAATCAACATTTTCCTTAGTTTCAAAACCAGGTAATTGTGAATAGACATAGCTTGCGTTTTTATCTGAACTGAGGATTTTGAAAATTTATGTTTTAACAAGATCTGGCCCAGGTCTCTATGGATCTTATAGATGTAATGCAATTGGCAACTCTGACTCATGACTTTGTTTGTACACTTGTGCTTCACATCAGAAAAGCTATTTTTTCCCTATAGCTTCTAAGAATGGCTCTCAATTACAGACCTAAGTCTGAATCATTTCTGGTTCCCCTTTCTAGCTTACATCCATCTTGCTTCTTGTATATTTCCCCATTATGACATTTTTCAGAGTCTATCAGGGACATGGAATAGACATGAAATATTTTACTGACTTGAAAGTGTGCAGGAAAAATGTCTTCCAATAAGAAAAAATATGCATATGCACTTTTTTCTCCCTTGCCAATGCATGGCAGCGAGGAAACAGAAAACTGTGCTATTATTTAGTAAGACTTCTAGAAAAGCTATTCCTTTTGCCTCAGCAGTCCATATCTGGCTCTTGCTTTTATTTTTGTGGCCAAATCTTGCCCTTCTGTCTTCTTATTAAGCATTATCATTGTCATTTTCAACATCATCATCGTCATCATCATGTTTACTGTTATCATAGTCATTTTAATTTTTGGCATTTACAGGGAACCTGTCCCTATTCCAGATATGATCACATTTCCTAGTAACCTTTCATTTCTACCTACTACATAAAGTTTCTCATTGCTACATTGTTAATCAATTATAGTAAATACTATAGTATCCTTTCTAGCCTCCTCACTGTTACAAGTTCCCTGTTATCTATTTTAATTCTTTATCCTCAGCTCAGCAAATCATCTTTGCTAGCCACTGTGACTCCTGATGGTCCCTCAAAAGTCCCCATCCTCAATTTCTACTACAACTAATCTTCACTGATCTTCATAATTAATCTACATTTCCCTTTCTCAGTTCTTATTTCCTCATTCTGGAGAAAAAGATAACTTTTTTTCCCAATACTATACATATAATGAGCTACCTCACTGCCCTCTCAGATGTGGTGTGTGTGGGGGTCAATAAAACATAAATATGCAAAAGTACTATATTAAACATACAAACTTTTATGGGAACACCAAGGAGAGAAGATTGTTTTTATCAAAAATAATGGGGAATATTTTACATCCAGGAAAATCTAAGATCCTGAGAGTAAAGAGAATTATGAGGGCTGTTAGTTAATTGATCTGTTATAAATGATCTGTGTAAATAAAATTTATAAAAGAGTATCAGAGTTCATTGAAGTGTAATGTTAAAGGGAGAGGGAGACAAAACTCAGTGAAGTCCATTAATATTAGAGTCTTAAATGATATCCACCTTTTATAAGTCTTTAAATACCTTGTGCCCAAGCCTTCATATAGTGGCTAGATCTCAAAACATGGCAATTCTTTTCTGTACTTGATATTTTCCTCATTTGTTTATCCTTTGGAATAATGAGAAACGTCCTTTCCAAAGGATGACATCCCCAGAAGAATCAGAAAAAAAAAAGTTGTGCATGGAAATGATTGATCATTCTATGTGGTCCCTTACAGTAGCAATGGCAACATGGATGTTTTATTACTTTTTGTATTTTTATCTCCTTTTGAAGAATTATTTCTAGAAAATAATGAATAATAACTGTATTAAACAGGATGCTCATAAACTTCAAACCATTTTTCATCTCTGGATCTTCTCTATGAAGCTTTCCATGAATAGCTTAATAAGAAGTCATCTCTTCATTTGTTGGAATCTTGTAGTATTTTATCTGCACTTCCTAATGATACTTAACTATTAAGGATTTTATTTATATATAGTAATATATACTTTATATTATTATATTTTATAAGCATTTATGTAACATATATTCTCCTCACTGAAATTTTTGATGATAGCACCCAAACCTGTGTCTTCTTGCCACTTCTCAAAGCATGCAGTAGTTAGTATTTTGCCTATAGTTCAGACTCCAAAGTTATTGAATGGCTAAATAAATGTATGAATGAGCAGTCCCATTGAAAGCTGATTCTCAACTTGTTACTCATAGGATTTTGTTTCAAATATTGACTTCCAAAACAATGAACACAAAATTAATATGAAATGGGATGAGTATGAAAATTATTTTCAGGAAAATCAAGCTTTAAACTTAGTTCTGTTGTCTCTTTGGAAATACTCTATAAATTAAAAACATTAATTTTGTCAAAATTCTGATGTATTTATTTATGAAATGTGCTCCTAGCTGGGTATATTCAGAGGTGTAACATTTAAAGAAGAAGAATTTAGAATTTAATTTTTATGCTCATATTTGATAATAATAAAAATTAATCAAAACTCAAGGAAAGCAATCCAATTAAATTTCTAATAAGCAAAAACAAAGCAATGCATGAATTGTGAGATAACATCTAGAATATTTAAAGTTTCTCTTCTTATAAAATGGTATAAACTCTTCACAATGCATTATAGTAAATTAAATTACAAGATAAAATGCAATTTTCATTTAAAACATGTATTTAAAAATTAAAGCATTTAAATGTCTTTAAATAAAATATTAAAAATAATTCAATTATTAATAATTGGTTCTTATTACAGTATTTTCTGATTCACAATAAAAATACACCAAATAGTTAAAAAGTAATTTCTTCAGACTATTAATTATATTTTTGTAATGTTAAACAAATACACCAATTTTTTTGGTTTGTTTCTAATTTAACAAAGAAATTATCATCTTTGACATGTGCACTTTATAATTCTATTACCTTCTTTGTTACTTTCAGATAAGTAATGTCAAATGTCAAATACACAATTAGAATGTTTAAACAAGAGAAAACCAAAATTTTTCTGATGTATTATTAGAACCTCTCCTCTAATTTAAAAATTAGAGAGGCCTGAAAATGTGTAAAATGGCATGTTTTATATTGAGATTTAATCTTCATTTTGGGAGTAGGTATTTAAAACCCAAACCAAGGACTGTGGTATAACCATTGAACCTCCTATGAGCCCTGGTAGGCATTCATACAAGTGAAGTCCATCATTTGCTCTTGTATTAATTTCCAATCACACACTTACTTAAGATAAAATAGGAAATGTGGCAATAATCTCTGACATTAGATTTCTTTGTGGAATAGAACACAAATAAGGAAAGTTTTCAAAAGTGGCACGCAACATGTAAAATTTAAATTATTAAATGGACTAGTTCAAAAGAATGCCAAAATAAAATGAATACTATACTTGTTTCCATTGTATAATAAAAAGATCTGAAAACTTTTTCAGAATATTTAAATGTCTAAAAGATTTCCCACAGGCTTAACATAAGTTTAAGTGAAACCTACCTTTAAAATTTGGTCTGATTCTTGCATCGTATCCTGAGGTCCTTCCCATTAATTTGTCCAAGAAATCTGAAGGAGATAGAGTCTGCGAAGGTTGTTTTCCAGACCTGGAGTCATGGTCTTTGCAGAAAGTCGTCCTAAACACATCATTAACTCTTTTTAGCAATAATTCAATTCTCATTGCCTGTGAATTAATGCTCACAGAAGGTTTGACATGCTTTGCAAATATATTTAATATGTTACTAAGAAGAAAAAGAAAATTACAAACTCTTTGGTCAACTTCTGAAATTATACATGATCTAAAGTTAACTTTAAATAATGAGAGGTATAAATCATTAATCGTATCTCCTAAATTTTCAAACTTTAGCCATACATAAGATGTTTAAGATGAAACAACATGCATAGTTTTAGATTGTAGATTTTATGGATATATAGTTGAAGCTATTTCTTTCTAGAGTCATCAGAGATGTAAAGATCATAACTTCTAAAATTTAGGTGATTGTCTTAAAATCATATCCTCATGAATTTCAAAAATTCTTCCAGCATTTAACCCTCTACTTTTTATAAGAAATATGTAATGAGATGGGCAGAACAAAGTAAGCATAAACTAATTATCCCACTGCTTACTTTCTCACCTGCTAGTTTATATTCCATCTATCAACTATTAATACTTTTCAATGTGATGTCTAAGTGCTGGTGGAGGCCTTTCATTACTTAAAAATTTAACTTCATTCTAAAATAAGTCATCAGTGAGCATGTCTATACTTCTATTAATGTATCAGTTATTTATACATTAAATGTTACTTATACCTTTAAAGTGCTGACTGCAATCAAGTATTAATAGAAAAGCACTTTTAAATTATTTTATCTTTTGAATTATCAAAAATACTGAATGTTGACTGGATATTTTTTCAGATTTTTATTTTCCTTAAAGGGTTTATAAAAAGAGCATATTTAGTTTGTAGTGAAAATGAATTCTTTCACAATATATAGTGGTGAGTGAATGTTTATTTCTACCCTGAAGTATATATTTTACAAGCTTTGTTTTCAATAGTTCAATGATCTTATTAATCTTATACCTAAGAAAATACCACATTCTTTCCAGTTTTAAATAGTATTAAATGTAAGTGCAAAGGTGATATAAACATTTGGTAGGAGTTAAATAAATTGATATTATCATCTGGAAATACTCACATTCCCATACGCAGAATCATCTGGTTAATCAAGTACTATTTGATTATGATGGTGATGGTGGTGGTGGTGAAAGTGAAGATGATGATGATGATGATGATGATGATGATTCTAATAAAATTCAGCCTACAATTTTTCTTAATCATAGTAAGAGGTATGGACCTGAAAGGAACATAGTGGGTTTTCCCAGTACTCATAGCATTGCTGCTATATGTTTCATTTCTCTTGTTTCTGTGAAAAAATACCATAAAATTTGGTGAAAATTCAATGAAGAGTTTTACACTTTGTTGTATGAACATCTCCTGTCTAGTTTGTCTTAGAACCTCTTTCATTAGGTTAGCTATTTTACTTAATAGTACTACTCTGATATTTTAAAGTATCAATTGATTTGACAATTTGTAAATTAGGTAGAAAACACAAGCACACAAATAATGATTTCTCACTTATTTTAATTATTCATAGTCTATTTCTCATGCATACATAAATACAAAGATGTCATTTTAATTACATTTTTGGTAGGCAATCAATTTCAAATATACGGAACAGTAGAATATTGTAGTAAAATGAGATTTGAAGTGTTTCTGATGTTTCAATAAATTTCCTGAATTGTAGTCCTCATAGTATGCATCTAGTTGCTGAAATACAATACAAGTCCCAAGTTGGTTAAGAATTCGGGGTTTTATATCTTATATAAAACGAACATGATTTGGGCAAATTAATCCAATCACTTCCACCACATGAAAAGTATTGCATTCAATAATCCCTTTAAATGACTTCCAGAAGAATTTGAAAGCAAAAAAAAAAAAAAAAAATGCATCATTATATAGAAATGTAAAGAGCATGCAACTCGTCAGACTACTTTAACATCACATTGGCTGTGAAAATGTGTTGAAATGCATCGAGTAGGGTTATGCATCATAAAACTTGCCTTTGTGAAAATTTGCCACCCTCCCACCATAATTAAGCTTTTTAAAAGAACAAAAGAAATCTAACTGTCTTCCATAAAATTAAAATAATATGGTCTGGGGCATAGAAAATTGATAAAAATTCCATGACATGTTATCTTTCAAACAGTTTTCATGTGGAAAATATCAACATGCAAAGTCTTTTCACCTACCTGAAGTGGTGTGTCTCTAAGAAAAATGCAAACAAGGCTGTCAAAATGTTCACTAGCTGCCGGTTCATTCCTGTTTCTGTGATGCTTGTGGATAATATCCCCGAAATGATTCCAGAAAGAAGCTAGGACAAAGTATCTATCTATTGTCCAGATTCAAAACCTGGCAGGAATCTAGTTTCCTTGAAAATCAGAAAGAGATTTGGGTTTGTATAGTTTGCTGAGAAAAAACAAAAAGTGCCAGTCCTAGGCATCATGGTCAGGTCAAACTGGGGCGCAGGACCATTAGTTAACCCAGGAAAGACAAAGACTTAGAACTGATTGATCCCCCAGCTGCTTTTCCTAAATAATAAAAATGCTGCTACCTTAATCACATCACCATGCAAAGGGGGCTGGTGACAATGCCATGCTGGAAGTCGGGTTGCTGTAGCTTTTAAGTCCTTTCTGTTTAGCAAATCCCCTTTCTTTAGAAAATGTTTCTTTTTAAAAGAAGTTGTAAATGGGGGAGAAGAAAGGACTCTGCGAGCTGGAGTGGGTAGGGAGAAGAGGGCAAAAATGCTGAGATCCTGTGCTGGAATGAGGGCTACACAGAAAGAGACGGAGACGTGATCTTACCCAGCCTATAAATTTCAGCACTAGGACAGCTTCTAGCTCTGAAGTGCGCATGTTTCCTTTTTCATTGGGGCGGGGGTCGGGGAGAGGCGTTCAAGAGGGGGCATGCCTGTCATTCAAAGGCAAAGAGTGACTGGCCGTTCAGCTACAGGGTGCTGAAGGGGGTGCGATAACAACCAGGGGGAAGCGGAGGTCAGGATACACGGAGAGAATGAAGGAGACAAGGGTCCAAGCTCCTAGAAATGCGAGTCTGTCAGAGGGTGGGCGGGACAGGAGTTCGAAGCAGAAAAGAGAAGGAAATAAGGTCTAGGCGTGGGAAAAGGAAATTGGGGGAAGCAGAAAACAGGATCTGGAGTACTGAAATTATAATAGGGGAGTGGGTAGTCCACTCCTTATCAGTGGAAACTGGAGGTAAAGGGGAGTCCTGTGCTAAAGAGGAGGGGACATTTGCGTGGCATAAAGAAGTCAGTGTGCGGGAGAAGATTTATGGGAATTGATAAATTAATTTAGAAGCCCTTTATGCCTTCCTCACCCCTTGAGTGTTTTCGTTTGATTTTAGCCGCCTGTTCGAAATGATCTCTTTACCCCTCTGCTAGGGAAAACCCCTTCAGTTGAGTTTTTCTTTGGTGGTTCAAAATCCTTGGGCATCCTCTTCAAGTCACAGATTTGTAGAGGAGGAAAAAATACAATAGGCCAGAAGGGGGCAGTAGCAATCTTTTCCTGCCCTGGTTAAAGGTTAGAGTAGGGCTCCACGTAAGATATGGAGCAAGGAAGAAGGCTTAGGGTTGAGTTTCATCTGCCCATTCCAGATGTTAATCAGCAGAGAGGGTCACGTAATTAAGTGAAGTTCTTCTAAACTGGCTAAAAAGACAGAAAATAGCATGACAGGTAACTTTGCTATTTCAAATTAAATTTATAAATAGTATTGATAATAAAAGAGGAAAGGTAAATAGTTCAATGCAAGTAATTAGCAGCTCTGGTAAGGGGAAATGAAAAATGCATGTTCGACCATGAGCTGGATGAGTAAGCTACTTTTTGTCTGTAAGGTATACCTTGCTAATCACCTTGGCACTCGACTGCAGGTCTTAATTTTAAAATAAAATATAATTAATTTTTATTCCACAAATGACGTATCTCCCCTAGATCAGTTTAAATATCATAGCAGAGTAAAAGAATTCTGTTATTAAAAAGTAGAAAATATTTTCTGAGAAAAAATTGTGAGTTCTTTTCACCTTTTAATGTTAATATAAATCACCTGAGAATCTTGTTGAACTGCAGTTTCTGATCTAGTAGGTTTGAGGTGATGCTTGAGATTCCACATTTCTAACAAGTTCCTCACTGAGGTTGATGCTGCTGGTCCACTGATCACACTTTGAGTGGCCACGGTCTATACACCCTTTTATTGGATTTCTATCCCACCAAGCCAGTGAAAATATAGGAACTTCTACTTAATGAAAAGCAGCAGTGCCCAAGCATTCTGCTTACATACAAAATCAATTCTTTGGATGTGTTCTCTTAACTCTCAAAGCCCAGAAAAAGTGATTCAATTTAAAAGGAAAACAGTGTAGTGTAGTGTGAGACATCCCTTGACTGTAGTTTCGAATTTGTTCACTTCCAAAGTCTCACATGGAAACTCTAGACCTGATTTTATTCCTGTAGTCCAGACCCCCAAAATAAAATCAATTCCTGGAAATATATTTCTCCAATTGGTACTATGAAAAAAATCATGCAAGCTATATTTTTTTTTTTTTGGTGCTCAAAATTCTTTCCAAAAGAAAAAAATATATATATGTAAAAGTAGAAGAAAATTATTTTTTTTATTTTTTTTTCAAATCTTTATTGTTGGATGTAAAATGTATTGCATATGCTCCACATTTTTCCCCCATTGACCCCCTCCTCCTCACTCCCGCCCCCCTCCCACCTTTCCCCACACTATTGTCTGTGTCCATTGGTTATGCATATAAGTTCTTTGGTTTATTTCTCCCCCCCCCCAACCCCTTTCCCTTTGAGGTTTGTCAGTCTAGCAATGAATTTGTGCTTCTTACTCCCTTCACCTTTTACACCCATTCCCCCAACCCCCTTCCCAACTGGCAACCAACAAAATGTTCTCTGTATCTATGAGAATGTTCCTGTTCTTCCTGTTTATTTTGTTTGTAGATTCCATTGTTGATAGATATGTATTCATTGCCCTTTTGTTTGTTCATACATTTTATCTTTTTCTTTAAAAAGACCCTTCATCATTTCATATAATAACGGTTTGGTAGTGATGAACTCCTTTAACTTTTTCTTGTCTGGGAAAGTTTTTATATGTCCATCGATTCTAAATGACAGCTTTGCAGGATAGAGTAATTTTGATTGTAGGTTCTTGGTTTTCATCACTCTGAATATTTCTTGCCACTCCCTTCTGGCCTGCAAAGTTTCTTTTGAGAAATCAGCTGACAGCCTAACTATGTCAGCCTATGGGAACTCCCTTGTAGGTAACTAGCTGCCTTTCTCTTGCTGCTTTTAAGATTCTCTCTTTGTCTTGAACCTTTTGCATTTTGATGATGATGTGTCTTGGTGTGTGTGCCTCTTGGGGTTCATCTTGTTTGGGACTCTCTGTGCTTCCTGGACTTGTATGTCTGTTTCCTTCACGAAGTTAGGAAAGTTTTCTGCCATTATTGTTTCAAACAGGTTTTCAATTTCTTATTCTCTCTCTTCTCCTTCCGGCACCCCCAAGATGCGAATGTTGGCACGCTTGAAGAGGCTCCTTACACTATCCTCATTTTTTTGGATTCTTTTTTTCTTTTTGCTGTTCTGATTGGGGATTTTTTGCTTCCTTATATTCCAAATCAATGGTTTGCTCCTTGGATTTACATACTCTATTATTGAAGCTGTGTAAATTATTCTTTATTTCAGTTAATGCCTCCTTCAATTCTAACTGTGTATCCATGATTTTTAACTGGTCCTTTTTTATGCTCTTGAGGCCCTCCCTAAGTTCACTGATGTTCTCACTAAGTTCATTGAGCATCCTTATAAGAAGTATTTTGAACTCAGTATCTGTTAGGTTGCTTATCTCCCTTTCGCTTAGTTCTTTTCTTGGAGTTTTGTTCTGTTCTTTCATTTGGGACCTGTTTCTTTGTCTCCTCATTTTGGCTGCCTCCCTGTGTTTGTTTCCGTGTATTACTTAATGAGAGGTATGGGGCTCACTGAGACCCAATGCTGCTCCTTTGAAAGAATTTAGGAAAAACCTGAAGCAGGATCCAAGACCGGCCAATCCTATGGTTAAGCAAGTGGCAACAGCTTGGGTGGGCTTGAAAGTTGTGTGGGGTGGGGCGGGGCCTCAGGGAGTCACCAGGGCAGGGCTACCAGTGTGAGTCAGGTTGCTGGAGTCCCAGATAAGGAGACTATCTGCCGCCCCAGGGAAGGGCTCACTAAAGGAACAAAGGCCTCTTACAGCACATTTGTCCCCGAGAAAGCCCCCTCTCCAGCCCTCGCTCCAGTGCCAAACAGCTCAGTTCTTCCCTGTATGTCTCTGGCGCTCCTCAAGCTGGCTTCCCTCCAAGCTTAGAGGGGGAGAGTCCGATAAGTCCGTGAGCAGGCCCTTTAGGGAGCTGCCTTGGGCTCCAGCCGCTTCAGCTTCCGCTGGTGTTTCCAGCCAGAAGTTATGGGGACTTCTCTTCCTGGCACTGGAACCCTGAGCGGGGCACCTGGTGTGGGACGGGGAACCCCTCATTCCTCAGGAATTACCTTCCCAGCCTCGGGAGCCTCCTGATTTTTATCCGCCACACGTGGGTGTGGGACCAGCCTTTTGCACTGCCGCCCCTCCTACCAGTCTAGATGTGGCTGCTGATTTAATTCCGTAGTTGTAGGACTTCCATTCAGCTTGATTTCAGGCGGTTTTGAATGATGGTTGTTCTGTAGTTTAGTTGTAACTTTGATGTGGTTGTGGGAGGACGCGATACCGCGTTTACCTACGCCACTATCTTGACTGGATGTCTAGAAGAAAATTATTTATCCCAAATTTATTTGAGGTTGTAATGCTGCTCAAAGTAATATAGTCTTTGTAAGTAATTTCTTTCAACAGCAGTGTTGTTATTAACCTGGAGTAGGGTGAGTAGTGAAACCTGTGACAAATGGACACTCTGTCTAACATGTTTATTGTTTAGAGTTGGAAGGAACTTTTGAGAGGATCTAGTCTAGCCTCCTCATTTTATTTCTCAGCTCTCCTCCATTTGGGTTCCAGCTCTGTCAATCCACAGAAATAACTCTCACTAAGTCTGCCACTGAATTCCATGTAACTAGAACAAAAGGATATTTTTATTGTCATCTTACTTGACAGTTTCATGACAATGAATACCATTGGTCTTTTTTTTAAGTTTTATTTTTATTTTATTGTGTTAAGAACACTTAACAGGAAATCTTTCTCAACAGATTTTTAAATGTACAATATTGTGAACTATGTGCACAATACACAGTGAATTTCTAGAGCTTATTCATCTAGCACCACTGGAATTTTATACCCGTTGATTAACAGCTCCCCATTTCCTCCACTCCTCTTTTCCTAGCAACCACCATGCTGCTCTTGAAGCACTTTGTTCTGTTGACTCCTAGTCTGTCTCATTCACAGACATATCCTCCTCTACCTAGCTTATGAAAGTTGAATTTTCTAAAGGCTATATATTCTAGGCCCTCTCTTCTTATACTACATTCACTTATACAGTATGAAGCCCATCCATAACTTTCAATATCCTTTTATGCAGATGACACACAGATGTGTATTTCTCTCCAGACCTGTACATCAAACTGCTTCCTAAATAATTGCCATTAAATATCTCAAAGGCTCCTCAAACCCCACATTTCAAAACCAAACCTTCAAATGCTGTTTCTATTCTACAGTGTCTGTTTCATTGTCACCAACCAAAAGGCAAGGCATTGTCTCTAAGACTCCCTCTCTACCACCCACCATAATCAGTTCTTCACCAAGTGCTATTGATTATTTCTCTCCAATATTTCCTAGATCTGTCTACTCTTTCCATTTCAACCTCTATGACATCAGTTGAAAAGACAAAGTAGAGATTAATAAAGGACTTATTAATGTACAATTGAAAACAACCAAGAAGTAGAGCTTGGAGGCAAATCAGAGGGCAAGAAGTTGTTTTACCAAATCTTTGGTTG